TGTAGTAGTATCTTTTAGCACATTTCAAAGCAATAGCTGAAGTGCAAGTTATGAGACATGCTTTTACCTCTCCTTACAGTGCTTATCTCATGTGGTCCTGGAGCTTTTTTTGTGGATTATTTTTTGGTTTACTTTTTTCCTGTCTATATGTGTGTCAGTGAGACACTGAGGATATGGCAACTTAAACTTAGGTTTTGTAGAACAAGTTTGGCAGTGTATGTTGTTGTTGTTGTTGCAATGCCATAAGAATTTCCTCTTGGGAGCACTGGTATATGAATGCACTGTTGTCCCTCCCCTTCACTCCCTTGGTAATTCTAACATCACTCTTCTGGGGGTTTTTACTGGGATTTGGAGATGCCTGCTGCAATGAGATTGTTACAAAGATTTTCTAAAGTTTCCAGCCTTTTTAAGTACTAGGAAAAAATCAAACCAGCCAGGCTTTTACATTATTTTACTTTGTAGGTTCCAGGTAGTATTGTGAGTGTTTTAAATATAACCCCCACACTTACATGGGATTTTTGTCTTCTAGTAATAACATGTTGCCTCTGAATTTGAATATATGGTGCCTGCCAATTATCTGGCATCATAGCAAGGCAAAGCCTGTTGCCATGGAGCTTTGAGGACCTGAATTCAGCATACCTGCAGCTAGAGAACTAGAGAAATGGTCTCTTTGTAGGAGTAGTTTCTTCAGGGTGGAGGAAAACTAGGAAAGAAAGGAGGAAAAAATGGATAAAGGAAGGAAAAAATGGATAGGGGATGTTTAAGAAAGATGTATCCTTCTCGCAGCCTACATCCATTATATGCTTCTGCTGTGTCAGGTTGCCATTTTCTTGAAGAATCCTTAACTGTGCCAGGCAATTGGTGTTTGACCTAGAGCTCACAGCATTGTGTGTGTTAGCTGGTTTTCCTTGCTTTAATACTCTGCTCCCTCCTTTTCAACTTTGTTTTGCTTTGCCGTGGATTAATGGCACATGAGCATGGTGAGGGATGGCAGAGGATGATGTATCACATTGCTGTGCAAGGATTTTTTGTGGGAAGGATGTATCAACAAACAGGAAAGCTTCCAGTGCCTGCTTGTTACTCAGTTGTGTGAATCAGCAGGACGCTGCTCCAAATGAATCATAGCTACTAGACAGCTATTTAGTAATCATCCAGAAAGGTCTGTTTCTAATTGAACTTTTCAAGACAACTTTTGCTCTTTTAAACTTTTTAAGTTTCATGTAGCAGATCTCTGAACTGTAGCTGGTGTTTGGTTTTCAGTGTTTGCCTCTGAAGGCTGAATCTCACTGGTGTCTTACTGGAAGTCCAAGCATATTGTTTCACCACTCTGCAGTTGTTTTTCTTAGTCATGTTGTTTGGTTCCCATAGTCAGTTGTGGACTTCTGTGTACTGGATTCTATACCTATGTACGTTTGCTCATTTTTTTGTTTTCAGAATACATATATTGCTACAGCACTTTTCTATTTGAGTTTTCCCATCCTGTGTGGTGGTACTTTTTCATATGCCCTAAGTGACTTGTGTTAGCAAAACTGTACTGCTGTGTACTTACATTATCTGGATGATTCCTCTTATCAGATATGGGATCTATGTATAGTTTTGCTTTCCATTCATGTATTGAAAAGTTGACTTGTGTACATGTTTGGGACCTTATTCCCCAATAGGGAATATTGGGGAAAAATATTTCAAAGACCAATTAAGTTGAGTTCCCTGTCCTGGTTTCCAGATTGTGGACTTAGGGAACCTTTCATGATATCACTGACTCTGTGGCCTCATTGCTAGTAGAAGTTTGACTGTTGCTTATTCCTATTGGTCTCTGGCATATATCCCTGCCTTCCACTGGGATATATCACATAATGAGCAGAGAGAAAATAACACTTTAATAAACAGCATTGGGTTGTGTGTCCCATGCTTAGTATGTCCTAGTTCCTGGAGAAGTGGGTCTCGCAGGTACTGCAGGATGCCTGTGTAAACAAGGCAATCAGACAGAACATGCCTTGTGTGCTACTGTGCAGATGTGCCTCTTTCTGAAGAATATTGGCTTATGGAGAGGCATCTGTTTATACAGATGTTATTCTGAAGGGATCTCCCGCTGGTACATAGTGTATACAAACAGCTTTAGATACTCTAATCTATCTGTGTGATAGCCAAGCTCTTAAATAATGGAAGTGTCTCCTTTCCCCCACGTAACATTTTCCTGGGGAGACTTGATAGCAGAAAGATAAGAATCAACAGATCTCGGAAAAGTGGCAACACGTAAATTGTATCGCAACTACTTTGTCAAAAAACCTTCTCGATAATCTTCTTAGAAGAGATTCAGAACAAAAATCAGGCAACAGTCACACTAAATATATATAATGGATAGTTATGCCTTCTTGTGTTGGGGTGAAACTCAGGTTCTGCAGTATTCCTGTACCTCCTGGCTTATCTAAATCAGCTAGCTGAGTGTAGAGCTAACCTATATGCCGTTTCCAAGGACCCTGGGAATAACTTGTTATGGTTCTTTTTATAAATCTTAATGAAATGGCTTTTCTTCTACCAGGTTGTGGTACTTGTTGCAAATGTAGGCTGTACCAAAAGCAAGCAAATTTAAAACCCTTTGTTGTGAAAAATATTTGTTTCTGCCACTTGTGAACAGTTCTGGCTGTTGAGACTCTCTATCTGCAACGGCTTTACTGATGTGCAAGATGCACATTAGTCATCCAGTCACTGTGTGGTATCGTGGTGGAAGACACTGTCTGACAGAAGGGCTTTTGTCTGGAAATCATCTCAGCTTCTGAAATCGGATCTTGCTCTCTGACAGTCTGTGCACTAGTGATGATTGCAGCTATTAGGTTTGCCTTGCAGGGCACTTATGACTGAGATTCTTTGGACCTGGAACTTCACAACTCCTGTATCCACAATTTCAATGGGCACAGATATGGATTTGATTTAGGTCTCACTTGTACAATAAACTCCTTGTCACTCATTTCTCACTCTCTTCACTGAGATGTTTGAGTGTAAGCATTTTCTTTCTCACACTCCAGCTGCTTCTTTACCCTCTTCTGCAGTCAAGCTATAATCCTGTGGATTTGATATTGCAGGCTGTTGCCATGGAAATAATGGTGATTTCACAATTTCAGTGCTGTAAGCACTGCAGGAGGCAATGGAAAAGGTAGTTGGCAAGAGATATAGTGAGGACGTGGGGGACAATTCAGAGGAGTTGTTTCTAAATCTTTTTTTCAGGAAAGGGGTAAGGGGTTTCTTCCCCCTCTTTGTAATTGTGGGGTTTCAGCGTGTGTATGTTTAGTTCTTTTCTTTCTTTTTTTTTTTTTTCTGTGTGTAAATGTGTTTTTATTAAGGTTGATTCATAAAAATGTCATGTATTCTTACATTTTTTGCAAAGGTTATTACAAAGTGATGCTAAATTCTCCTTTCAATGTCCTCAGAATAAAAATACAATCCTTTCTTTGCAGTTTATAGTAATTCATTTTTGGACAAAAGGGCAGAGGTTGAGATCTAAGTATATTCTGTTTGAGTCATATATTTAGCCTGAAGAAATCCCTTTCAGGAAAACCTTTTTTTTTTCATAAATAGTAAAACAAGCTGAGAACATCATGGTGAGCATATGCATTCAAAGCTGTCTTACTGAGAGTATTAAATCCTAATATATTCGTTATTTAATTTTTAGTGTGCTCTGCATATGAACAAGTTGGGAGCTGAAAGTCATGTTTATGCAGCAACTGTTCTTAGCATTATGTCAGGATTCCATGTCTATACTGAAATCTTTTCTCTAATTTAGACAAAGCTATAAAGGTAGAGTGAAGCTTACTGGAGGAAATAACTTTTTATAAAATCAATCGAATTGGCAGCTTAACAGGATGAAGGCAAGTGACATTCAGAAGCATGAAACCTTCTGGTACTATACGCTTAAAAGCATCAAACAGCAGCCTTTTTTCCCCAGCTATTTACAATAGCATTTCACTGCTTAGTGTAGTCAGAGAGTAGATATTATCTGTAACTTTTAACTTAAGATCTTAGAATTAATTTTCACTCTTCAGTAGGATGTAATCAGTAGTGATGGTGACATGAAACGATCAAGATATTTTTTAATTAAAGATCGAGAAAAAAATGTTTCAGCCGATCAGATGTATTAAAGTGATCTAGGAATTGCTTTAAAATATTCTGATATTTTTTCTGCTTGGTATTTCATAAATGTGTATATGAAGATCAGCTGTTATGAAAGAGAAACAATAAGGAATATTCAACATGACTCTGGCTTTGTTGGGCAATGTTATTAGGAAGTCAAGTCCATAAGGAGAGATTCAGTCCCTTGATACTTGTTTGAATGGAAATAGTCTACATGTGTGCCAGTACTCATATCTGAATTTCAAAAAGACTATGCAAGAAACTCCTACATAAATTAAAATGACAAAATGAGCCAGAACTGTGTTTGCAGGGCCTGGCCTGATGCTGAGTTTGTCATACAGCTCTCAAATCTAATTGCAAATGTGGACATTTGTTAGTAGTGAGTATTACATAAATCAGACCTTTTAAAATAAATCAAAAGAGAATGTTTTTTCTGAACTATATTAATTAGTGAACACTGATTTTTGTCATGTAATGTTTCTTGGTGCCAAGTAAGTTTCTAAGTGTTGAATAAAGGAACATTTCTTGTGAATTTATTGGTGTATGTATACTTTATGCTTGACCCAAAATTGCTGCATGACTGAAATATATATATTTTTTTACACATGAGATTGGTTATAGAATTTTGTCTGCACTGGCAGAATACAGGTAGCATTGACATTATAGATGATAAATTTACATTACAGATGATAAATATACTGATAATTTTTTTTGACTCCTTCTTGGAAAAGTTGTTTAACACTCTTGGTAAGGAGCCGTTTAGCTACACGTCGTAGCATCTGACTGATATGTGAACTCTTCCAGGGTGAATTAATTGGAAGACCTGCACAGTAGACAGGTGTGTCAGTGCCTCATTGCCTCTGTTCCTGTTACAGGTGTATGTTGAGAGCATTGCAGCGATGAGTGGAATTTTAAAGAGGAAGTTTGAAGAAGTTGGTGGCACCTCACCCTGTTCCTGTGTGTGGGAATCAGATGATGACATGTCTAGCAGTGAAAGTGCTGACAGTGGAAGTAATGTCCATCCATCCACTTCTAATCATTTTACTCGTAAGTACTAAAGTGGTGTGTCTGGCACAATACTGCTTTTTATACAAGCTAAGAAAGGTTCGTCTTACTTGTAAGAAATACACTGAAGGCTATCTGCTTTTATTTTGAAGTGCTTTTCTGGTTTATTACATTTAAGTGCTGACACCGCAAGGAGGTACATATTTTTGAAAAATAACTATTTCATCTGATAATTGTTTCTGTGCAAATTTGTATGTCTAAATGAGTTTGAGGGGAAACTCCACTTTTAGGCTTTATCATTCATATCTAGTTAGTATGAAATGTTTTAGGTATATAAGGAGTATGTCTTCCATTTTGGGTGATGATTTGGGGGAAGAGCTTATACCAGCAGAAACTACCTTTGAAGGCCAGTGCTTCTGCTTAGTGCTGTGTGTTCAGAGTTGAGAGTAGAGTACTCAATTTGGGACAGAATCAGATCAGTCATCCTGCCCCTTGAGCCAATGCAACCATACAGCTTTCAGTCTTTTTCTTTCACTCGTTACAGGAGTAAACAGAGGAAGAAATTTGTAATCCTTCCTGAGAGGGTGTTAGATTCATATTTGATGTCTCCATGAGACACTTGAAGGACGGAAATCCTTTTCTTGTTCCCACTCAACCAGCTGAACATGAATAGTTAATTTACAGCATATTTTTCTTTTGACTTCTTGGGTTGAGGTTACCAGTTACTAAACTGGCATAAACTGTGGACTATATAAAGCCTCATATCTGCAGTAAACAGTGTGTAAATGAATAGCAGTAAGTGATTTGGATTTTATTTAACAGTTCATATGTAGCAGCAAGAAGAGGGTCTCCACTCTTCTTGTCTCCACATTTTTAGAATTTTATGTATTGACTGCCTAATAAAGCTAGGCTAGAGCTATTTGTGAATTACAGCTGGCAACAGAATTAGTGTAGCTCCTTCTCCCAAAAGGAAAAAGACTTCTCTGAGTAAGAGATACTTCTGTACCACCTTTTCTTAGAGCAGACTTTTCAAAAGTACTCTGAGGACCTGGATGTTCAGCTGAGGGTGGTGGTGAAGGGATTGTGTTTTAGTTTGACTGGGCACCACAGGAGTCTGTTCTGAAACCTGTTGTGCTTAACATCTTTAGTCACCTGAAGGAGGTGACAGTGACTTACATCATTTGCAGAGAACCACATTGAGGGGAATGGTTGATGCCCTTCAGAGAAAAACTCCCATTCAGAGGGACCTGGACAGACTGGAGGAACAGGCTGAAAGGAGACACGCAAAATTCAGCAAAGACAAATGCAGCTGTGCCCCTGGGAAGGGAGAGCCCCTGCACTGATACAGGCTGGGAACTGACCTAGAGAACTGTGTCCAGGTTTGGTCACACAGTGCAAGACTTTGATAAAATGGAGCAAGTGCAGCAGAGGGTCACCAAGGGGATGAGGGGGCTGGAGAGTTCACCATGTGAGGAGAGACTGAGGAACCTGCCCGTGTTCAGCCTGGCAAGGGGAAGGCTCTGGGTGGACCCAGTAGAAACCGTGCAGTACCTTTGAGGAGCTCATGCACAATGTGCAGCTCTTTCTAGTGGTCAGTGATGGGAGGGTGAGGAACCAATGTAGATTGAAATAAGACCTGTTCCAGCTGGATATAAAGAGAAACTTTTCTCCTTGAGGATAGCCAGGCACCGGAAAAGGTTGCCCAGAGGGGCTGTGTAGTCTCTCTCCTTACAGATTCTTAAGACTTGGCTGGCTAAGTTGTGAGCAGCCTTGTCTGATATCTCATCCATCCTTGAGCAGGAGGTTGGACTAGAGACCTGCTGAAGTCCTTTCCAACCTGAATCATTTGGTGGGTTTATAGCTTATGTGCATCAGAGGTTCAGAGAGAGCTGAAGTAGCACTGCTTGTTCTTGTTCCAGAGCCAAGTTCACTGTTAAGCTCAAAAGGGGTAGCAGCAAGCACATGTCCAGAAGCAGTTTGTACAGTGCTGTCAATCCTCAACTAGACTGCTTTTGGGTCTGGTCTGATAAGTCTGTAGGGAACTGTGTTTTGCTTTATCAGTTTACTATCTCTGAGATCTATTTGCCCCTTTCCACTGCAAAATGTATTTGTTCTACTGTATTCTATTTTGATACATTCAACTCTGTTGCCTCACCTCTGTGAATACAGATGGCAGCCCAGTACTTACTGGGTTTGAAAAACCCAAGTTTTGTGTAGGCTTCTTGCTGAATGTAGAGTGCTTGTGGGAAGAACAAAGACTGGGATGATTTGAGACACAGGTAGATATGAGATGTCCCACTCCCCCTCTCCCAACTCATTACCCTGCTTTAATGGTTAAGCTGAAGAGCCTCAAGAGCCTCAAGAGCTTGAGGCTCATGATGTTTGCTCTTGGAACTTGAACTCTTCAAATTTAGTGATAGAATTTTCAGCCTGGAATTTCTTTTATTTTGCAGTCTGCCAGTGCTTTTTTCTACTGAAAAGGTTTCAGGGCATGATGCAGATATATTTATTTTGCTTAGGTTTAAATTGCTTTCCATTTTTATGTGGTTTGGAGTTTTGGTTGGTCTGGGGTTTTGTTTTGGTCTGGGATTTTTATTTATTTATTTATTTTCATTGGTTGGTTTGAGGTTTTGTTTTGGTTTGAGCTTTTTATTTATTTCTTTATTTTCATTGTTTCATTCTTTAGATCTCGAGTCACAACCTTTTTGCTCATGTTTCTGTAGGCAATGACAGAGTTTTTCTAATATAACTGTCTAGGTAAGTATTTTATAATATTCTTGTGGGAAAGAAACAACCTAAACATTCTTCTGGCTGCTGCAGCAGCAGACTTTAAAAATCACAGTTGTTCATTTGTTTTTTGTAAAGCCGAAATAAACAAAAAAGATTGAATTTAAGGAGCTTGGCTCTCCACAGCTGGATCTTGTACAATTTAGTGTTGTCAAAATAGAAGCCACATCTCCTTTTTACAAAGGTGGTGAAGAATCAGACCTATAGCCCAAGAAAAGGTAATACTTCATTTAAATTAGCTGAGAAACTTCTGGATATTTTCCTGTTTGTTACGTCAAAGAAAATTTAGCAATTCCTATCTAAGTTTTGTTTTCAAAATTTTACTGTAATCTGTTGATTTTTTGGAAGTATAGTTTTATATTTTTCTGGGAAGAATGGATTTATTGGAGGGATTGCTGCAACAGATTACTACTTAAGAGTTTTTTTTTTTTTTTTGAGGATCTGGAATAGCATATTTTATATTAGAACTCATTTCTTTATAATCAAATTCTGATAGGAGCGGTTTTCTGATTCCTGTCCTCTGTTGTGGTTATTTTCTGTTAGTCATCAGCTTCTTCAAAATCCAAATGCCAAATTTATTGACAGTCCAAGATCTCTAGATGTAAAATGGAAATCAGTAAGAATATTTCCAAATAAAGATTTTTTTGTGTGTGTGAGAGGTGGTTGCAAGATTGCATTGCATAATATTTGAATATGGAGCAAAACAAGGAAACGCTGTTGCAAACAACCCTATCCTCAGTAGCATATGTTAGACACAGAACAGCAGGCTTTTAGAAAATGTAAGGCATGTTTGCTCTAGCCTCATCTGAGATCAGTGTAAAATTCTTACCTCTTCAGCCTACTTTTTGCAGTAATGTGTTTATTCTGTCCATGAAGTCTGGTCTCCTACTGTGTACCCAAAACCATTCTGCTGTTCAGAAAAATAAAAAAAGATTCATATAAATTCTTCCTACTCTTATTTATCAATACATGTGCAGAATCATTGCTTCTCAAAGGGACTGGTGAGACACACAACAGCAATCTAAAAAGTTCTTTATTGTGCCGTGAGCTCCAGTAAACCCTGTCAGTACACAGTAATTCTTTGTGATACTGGAACGTTATAACAATATTTTAGAAGCTGAATGTAGATTAAGGCTGCTGTTAATAATTATACTCAATATTAGACATTAATATTTATATTTATTTTTCTGTGGTAGCACGTTTTATTAAAAAATAAATGTGCATATCCAAATCAGTTAAATGATTACAGTACCCTTATATTGCTTTTCATTTCCTCAGTAGCATCCATGGAAATGAATATGCCTTTTTCAGAATTAAAGATACAGGTCTGCTGCATGTAAGCACATGTGCATATATTTATAATGTGAAAAAAGGTGTAACTATATATTTATATAAGCTTTGTCAAATTACATATATATACACACGTTTTTGTACATGTATATATGCAAGTGCAGCAAATGTGGTAATGGCAATCAGAAGCGTTGAGTGATATTTTAATTGTAAAGTCTGACAGAATTCCATAGTACTGAAGAATGAGAAGCTACAGGATTTATACATGTTGTTGATTAGGGTCCCCATCGCGGTAACTGAAGAAATATATGTCTCTCTCCCCCTGAGGTTTAGGGATCTGTGTGAATCAAACACTTTTCTAGTAAGAAGCCTGCACTATATAATGCAGTAAACAAATGGCATGTTATTTTTTAAAGGAAATTTGTATGATTTGTATTTTTTTCCTTTATTCCCTTAAAAACGTGTACTATTTTACTCATGGGTTGTTTGCTAGTTATTTTCTGGAAGGAGGATTTCACTTTGTTTCAAATCAGAACTTTTTCTTCTAAACTCAGGGTTAGGGAACAGGTGAATTTCACTGGCTCAAGCTTTTAACTCAGGTGCAACTGGAAAGTTAAACTTTTGTAGACTGCTGAAGCATGTTACACACCAACTAGGCTCACCCCTGCCATTAAATTAATTCTTAAGCAGGGTGGGGATGGGGGTGTGGTGTGGGTGTCAGTGACCAGTTTAACAGGTCTGGAAATGGCTCGATGGCAATCATGATAAAACAGTTTATTTAAGATAATTCTAGGAAAGCATAGGGAATGCCAGTACCTGTTTGCTCTCTATTCAAAATATGTGTACTTAGTTATTTTGAAAGAATAAATTAAATATGTCTTAGGAAACTAGCTGAAACAAAAAGTCTCTTAAATTTCATCACAAAATTTAATTCAAGGCTCTGAGGTTATTATTTTTTTTAAAGA